TTGCTTTGGGTAGTATAAATATTTTAATTATGTTAATTCTTCCTATCTATGAACATGGTAACCCACCTATTTTTATCTTCTTCAATTCCTTTCTTCAGTGTCTTATAATTTTCTTAGTAAGCGTCTTCTACATCCTTGGTTAAATTTATTTCTAGGTGTATTTTTTTTTATGCAATTGTAAGTGGGATTGTTTCCTTAGATTCTCTTTCTAATAGTTCATTATTGGTGTATAAAAATGTAACTGATTTCTGGATGTTTATTTTATCCTGCTACTTCACTGAATTTATTTATCAGTTATAGTAATTTTTGGTGGAGTCTTTAGGGTTGTCTATATACAGTATAACATAAACTGCAAATAATGTCTGTTTTACCTCCTCCTTTCCAATTTGGATGCCTTTTATTTCTTCTTCTTGTCTGATTGTTGTGGCTAGGACCTCGAGTAATATGTTGAATATGATGTAAGGGGATATCCTTGTCTTGTTCCCGATTTTAAAGGAAATGCTTTTACTTTTGCCCATTGAATATGATGTTGACTATGGCTTTGTCATATATGGCCTTTATTGTGTTGAGGTATGATCTCCTCTAGTCCCACTTTGCTCAAGGTCTTTATGATAAATGGGTGCTGGGTTTCATTTGGGGCTTGTTTCTTTGTCTCCTCATTTTGGTTGCTTCTTTGTGTTTGTGTCTATGTATTATGTAGATCTGCTATGACTCAGTTTTCATGGGGTAGCCTTATGTAGTAGGTGTCCTATGGGACCTAGTGGCACAATCTCCTTGATCACCTGATCCGTGTGCTCTAGGAGTGTCCCCTGTGTGAGTTATGTGGGCCTTCCTGTTGTAGTTGAGTCTTGATTGTTAATGGCCCATTCATGCTTAGGATCAACCATCAGACTGGTTATGAGTCTCAACTCCAACCACAGCATGTGAGCTGCTATGCAGATGCTGACCACATGAAGCGGAACTCGCCTTAGCAGGATTTGGTGCCAGCTGAGATCTTCCTGTGTGTGTTCTTTGTGAAAACACTGGGTGTGTTTATTCTGGGTCTCTTAGAAAGAACTCTCTTGCAGGCCAATGTCAGACACTGCCTGGCCCACAGCTATAAGCAATCCACAGTTTGTGGCTCCCTCTGCTCAGCATGGATGCACATGGGAAGGACTAAGCTGTGCATCAAAGTTGGCTTTTTCTAGCATTGAGCCCAGGGACAGGTCAGTAAAAGTCCCAAGCAACCCTGAGATCTGCCTCTACCTGCCCACTGTCAGTCCCTGAAGAGCCTCTGTTGGAGTCGTGAGGATGGTGCCAGTGGATCTTCCATGAGGGGAAGGTGCAGGTGAGACTTCAGAGAAGGCTGTGGGTGTGATCACCACTCCAGAGCTACACAACTCAATGTGCCCCGGATTTTGCCCCACCTCAGCAGGACAGAGCTACTGGAGGTTGTGTCTGCCAGAAGCTGAGAGGGTAGTTCTATTGGATCTCCTTTGAGGGGCAAGAGCCAGTCAGGTCTATGGGAAAGTGGGGGGGGGGCAGTTCCAAAATTAGACAACTCAGGCACTAACACCCCCTGAGTCTGCCCAGACCTCTACAGCCTGGTCAAGGCAGCTGACTCTTCAGTGTGCAGGCTCCACAGGGTTGGGCAAGAGGGAATGCAGAAGGTGAGGCTATTGCTTTCCCCAGGCTGATGCTGCACAGAGGGGAGTGCTCCACCTGACAAAGGTGGCATCTGCATTATTGGAGAATGACTCAGCACAGGGATCCTGGTGACTGTCCCCTTGCTCCCTCCCTAGAGCCACAAACCCCAGACACTCCTCATGTTACTCTAGCCCACCCCACCCTCCCTTAGCCAAAGCTCAGGGTGAGTGACTGCGAATGAAATTTTGTGCATGGGCCCTTTAAGCAAGTGCCTGTGTCTCCAGCAGACTCTCTCTTTCCCTGGAGGACAGAAACCCTGCTGCTTTTCACACTTGGATGTTATGGGAGCGAGAGCCTCTTCCTGGCTCTGGTGCTCTGAGCTCAGGAGTTAGACCCATGCTTCTCAGGGAGAACGCCCCACAGCTGATTATCCCTTTGGAACCTCAGCTGCCACCCATGGGAGTGGAGCCAGCCTGTTTCACGTCCCCACCCTTTCTACCAGTCTCAATGTGGCTTCTTCTGTGCATCCTTGGTTAGAAGACTTCTCTTCAGCTGGCCTTCAGTTGGTTGATCAGGATGATTGTGCTTCAATTTAGTTGTAATTCCAGTTTGGTCCTGAGAGGAGATAAATGTAGCTTCCACCTACTCTGCTGCTATCTAGAAAATTTTCATATGTTCAAATAAAATTTAAAGACTTACTTTTCGGATTTAAAAAACAAATAATTAAATGAAGACATTGATTACTCTATTTCTAGTAGTAAAGAAAGCACTGACAGTCCATGGAGGGATATGGCAACAGAAATATGCAAAATATCACAACTGGATGATCTTTTTCAAACACTACAGACTCTAGGTAACCATGCATGATAACTTTGAACATTTTTATCAAACTAATAAATATAATGAGATTGCCTGGTTGCTCCTAATTTCACTGAACATAGCGAGGAAAGAAAGAATGAGCTCAGGAATTTAAATTCCTGGCTCATCCATGACACACATGACCCGAAAGCTTCTCTGTCCGCCCCGAAAACAAAGCTCTCCTCTCCCATGGGCACAGGGCTGAGATTGCTGAGAAACAAACCCAGAGTGTCATCCTGCCAGTGACTGAATTACAATGCAAATTGAATTCCTGGACTCACAAGTTATTTGCTGTTAAATTGGGGCATTGATTGGGAAGGAATATCATGCGGAAAGCTGTAATGGGGACATGTGGAAAGACCATCGTGACGCTGGGCACATTAAGCCCCGGCGATGTACAAGCCAGTGAGACTGGCCTGACGCAGATTCTCCCTCATAATCCTCAGAAAGACACCTTGATTTCAATGTTTGTTTGTTTGTTTAAAAAGAGAGAGAAACATCCATCGATGTGAGAAACATTGATGATCTGTCTCCTGCACGCCCCCTACTGGGGATCGAGGCCACAACCCAGGCATGTGCTCTGACCAGGAATTGAACCGGAAGCTCTCAGTCTGTGGGATGACATTCAATCCACTGAGCCACACTGGCCGGGCAACACCTTGATTTCAGACTTGCCGGAACAATAAATTTCTGTTGTTTGAGCAGCTCGATTTGTGGTTATTTGTTATGGAAGCTCTAGGAAAAGAATATACTAAGCATCCAATAAATGCTATTTTTATTATTGCTGCAATTTGAAAAGAGTAGAATCATAGAACACCAGTGAAATTAATGGAAAGTGCTTGTATGTGCCTAAAAAGTAACTGCCCACCACTGGTATCATAAATGCACTACTTTTATGTTCAGAAATCAGCAAGCATAGCTTCTGGCTGGATTACTAAATTTTGGGGTGTCCACTTATCTCCGTCATCCTCTATTTTTTCTTATTTTGGATAAGGTTGGCTATCTTTTTTTCTTCTTGGTTTCTAGTTTACCCCCTTTAAACCAATTGTATTTTCCCTAAATCACAAATAAAAACAGGGTTGGTTAATGCCATCATCTACTTGGTTCTTCAAAGTTTAGCATAATAAAAATGTCCACTTATTCAGGAATAATACATGGACACAGTAAAAAGAATAATATTCAAGCTCTCCTCCGCATTTTTCTCATTTCTTATTGATTCTTCAGCATTTTGGATGTAATAAAGACACACACTGAGAATCTGTATCTTTCAAGAAAGATATTTTGAATTGCCCTCTTAAAACCCTTCTTCATCACTAGTTGAAGCTTCAGAAGGACACAATGTTTCTTAAGTGAGACTGTAGGATGTTCCCTCTGAGCCTCCTCAAAGACAGCTTTTCAACTCAGCTCTTTCCTTGCATTCCTCTCAAATCTGTCTACCCAAGATAATTTGCTGGCTACGTATTAAGTTCTATCTACTCTGTTTGTGAAAACAAAATGACTATATTCTCATGTTTTTGAAAATGGGTAGCAGAGCACCATTAGAAGTCAGAAACTAAGATTTATTAATCCACAAGCTGAAATCACATCTTATAAAATGTTTTTAAAAATATTTCTAAGAACTCTGATATCCACTTCTCAATAAATATTGAACAGCAGGCTGCCAAACCCACAAGATGCATACAAATAAAAATACAGGGGACCCCGAGACTTAGTGAAGTTCTGACCTTTAATAAACTTGGAAGTATAAAAACTTGAAAAATTAAGCTGTTTCTAGCTCTCTCTCCCTCTCCCTTCTTCTCTCTCTAAATACCAATAAAGAAAAAAAAAATACTTATAGTGCTCTCACATTTGTTTTTAAGTTTGAAGAGTTAATTTCTAATTTTAAGTTTTTGTTTCAGTCACTCTTCAGATGCAATTTTTAAAATTACATAAAATTTATCATTCCAGATACACAATTCTAAGCAAGCGTAAAAGAAATGGAAATATAATTTCAAATGGTATTCTCTCTTACATTTGTAGGCATTTATACTTCTGGAGTTATAAAAGCCTTAAAACCTCACAAAATCTTTTGGGACACCAGGTTATTAACTTTTTTTCCCTTTAACAAGTCCTTTTCTCTAATGTGATAGTATAATTTTCAATTTCATAGTAGGAAAATGTTTATTTTTCAGTTTTAAATGTAGCACATAGCAGATAGAGTTTGTAGTTGCCAATTAAAAGACATTGTTCAGCAATTACCCCGCATGATAAAACAATCCCTCTCTTTCTACAACACATCAAAGTGCATTTCTGTTGGAATTTCTCTAACATACTCATCACCAAATTGTTACCTTGGGACTTCACTGAGTTTGTTTACACTTTATATCTGTTATTATCGCTGAAGGCCAAGCTTAAAACCTAGGCAAAGAGAGAAAATGTGAGGTTTCTTCCGTAAAGAATATTGCAAAACAGAGATCAGAGGCACTATTTTACTCTTCAATCTGTGAAATCTAACTTAGTTTACAATTAAAGAATGATTTTAATTGTCAAACTTTTAAATTTTATTAAATGTTTGTGACAATGCATCAAATGAATTCCAGACCTACATAAATACACAGGCAGCTGTTTGCAATTTGCATTTTTATCAGTTTGAAAGAGTACAATGTACTTCCTGCATCTTATTTTCAGAATTTGCATTTATCATCTTTGGCTACCCAGTATATAGTAGGGAGTACTTGAATATCTCATTCTTGGAATTTTCATTTTTGATTGTAAATCAGATGATGTCTGGCACTTTTCTCTTTTCTTATTTTTCTCTTCGCTCCAACTCTAGGTTTACTTGCTCCCATTTCTTCTCGGCTCTAATAAAACACACAAAACATTTCAATTATTTTCTTTTTCAGCATTCTTCAGGGTACCAACGTTTTGCATGACTTTGGCTAATCACCATAAATCTGAGGACAAAACGAAAGCTAAGCTATTGTTTTATTTATTTATTTATTTTTATCCTCACCCGAGGACATTTTTCGATATTTTGTTCAGATAGAGTGGGAGGGAGAGAGAGAGAGAGAAACATCGACGTGAAAGGGACACATCGAGTGGCTGCCACCCACACAACCCAACCAGGGCCGGGGACAAACTGCAACCGAGGTACGTGCCCTTAGCGGGAACCGAACCCGGGTCTCTCTGGACCGCAGGCCGATGCTCTAACCACTGAGCCAAACCGGCCAGGGCTAAGCTATTGTTTTAATTCGGTTTTTCAAAATGCCCTTCCAACCAAGTCCACTTCTTTCTGAAGCTTACTGTGTCTTGAATTTCGATGGAGGGCTGGAAAGGAATGGAAATCCTCTACATAAAGCTACACATGGAGCGCCCAGAACGAACCGAATGCACCCTCCATTCTATGGAGTCAGGTACCTCCAGTCACACCAGCTACATCCCCTATGAGAAACCACAGGCGGCCTCCAGGAAGGCTGGCAAGGACAGTGACATCTCTCATTTCCTTCAGTAACTTTCCTCAATTGCTAACACACATTCTCCTCTCCTATTGCATTATCCTCATAGCATCCAACGACATTTTCCCAAAAGTCTCCTCTTGTCCATTTAAATGTCTGTGGCCTTGGCAGGCAGATATTTCTGAGAAGCACAGACCAGTGGCAGCGGGTGTTTCTGCTCCCTGTCGCCAGCAGGCCAAGGCCCGCTCGGAAACACTGCAATCCGCCTCGGTGCCCTAGCCTTTCTGTCTCGTATTCTGGGGATGAAAACAACTGGAAAGGGTAAGAGCTTAGGAGTTACAAATGTCCCTGTCAAAAGCTTGGGTAAATAAGAAAACTAACTTTATTTTGCTATAACTGGTTTTGGTGTTTTTTACTATAAGTTAAGTCCCCTTTTCTGCCTGATGTAGAAAATGTATTGGTCCTTTGCTCATAAACTTCATTGAATTCAATGATTTCTTAGTGAATTCACATTTCTATTTCAATCACGTTTGGACTTGAAATTCTTTCTCCCTCTCGCACCTCCCTCCTGTTTATCCTAATGTCCAGGGTTGGGACAGGGAAGAATGTTTGTTGCTGTGTGACAACTAGGAAGAGAATACCATCTCAAAACTCGGGTGCCTCTGCAGGGTCTGAACCACGTGCCGGTGAGCGGGGGGCCCAGGCAACACAGTCTAAGGTTTCTCGATCTTGAATGTGCACCCTAATCGCCTGGGGGATCTTGTTAGGAGGCAGGTTCTGATTCAGCCAGAGTGAGATGGAGATTCCACATTACTAACAAGTTCCTAGGTGATGTCATTGCTGGTGGCCCTCAGATCATATCTGATTGGTGGATAACAGCAGAGCACCCTGTTGAGACTCCAGCTGAGCCTCCCGAAGAGGCAGCTTCCTGATGCTGTCCACGCAGTCTCGGCCAGGACATCTTGTGTACACCCATTTGCCCTCACTCCCAGGAACTCACTCTGATTGAAACCCACAGGAATATATGGCGCCCTCCCAAGCAGATGGGAGTTGGGAAACCTCAAGAGGCTGTCTCCAGCCCTCCCGTGTTGACATGGCTTGCCCTGCCCACAGCCCCACCACCAGATGGCAATGAGAAATTCTCTCCAAAGCTTTCCCTGCTAGAAATTCTCTCCAAAGCTTTTCCTTGCGACTGGGGAGTGCAATGCTTGTCCTCTTCGTGCTCAGATTCTCAGGGACTTCGAGGGGAATTCTATCACTGATTTTCCTACACCTGGGGCCTGGCACGGCTGGAGGTGGTGGGAGAGAAGAAGGTACAAACGAGTGGCCCTGCACTGTATGTGGTCCTTGCTGCCTCTCCATACCCTCCTCATACTCTCCAGACTGAATCACACCCAGTGGTTTGTCAGCTCCACCCCTCGTCCCACCCTCTTCCCTCTGCCGTAGGTGGATGGTGCCTGTTTCCTGGTCTGAAATCACCCCGCCTTCGCCCAAACCCTTCTGTAGTCCAGTTTCACTCTCTGGGGTGTGAGGGAGAGAGAGAGCTGCCTGGATACAAGAGCAGTTACCGGGATGGGGCATGGGGAAAAGTCACACACCCCCAAACCCCAAATACCATGCCACCCGCGAGGAATCCACCAGAGGAGTTGATGCGGCTCAACAATCTGCGGTTTCATCCAGGATTTCCATTGACTTTTCACTTCCTTCCCCCTAACATTAAGTGCCATTGCATGTAAAAACCCACATAAAATTAAGAAAAAATATAGGCGATTGAATTGTGCTGCGGAATTTTCTTGCGGTACAATATTGTTTGGGAAGAAATGGGCCAAAAGGAAAGAAACAGCTGACTGCTGTACATAAATATATATATATATATATATATATATATATATATATATATATATATATATATATGGGTCTGTGTACTATAGTAGCAGTACTATACTGCTAGAACTCAGCTGTTTACTGTGGAGAGGGGATCATCTCTGGTCTGGATATGTCCTGGTTCGTTCTGGGCAGCTCTTGTATAAGAGCTTATGGGTTTCAGATGATTCTGAAAGTTCTAGGCTATTGACTTAGGTAGGAACTTACGATCTAGAACTTTTTCTGAAAGGTTCAGTTTTCTGAAAAGTAACTGAAACCATTTTACCCAGCATGGTTTTCCAAACCCACTGAGCCAGCCCCAGGATAAGCTGGGAGGAGACACCAAGGTTTTTAGCAAAAGAACCACCTGAGGTCGGCTCTGCTACAAACTCTACCCTGGAGCGGTTCCCAGGCCCCCACAGCCTCCCAGAGACAAAAACGGCAAGGAGGAGACCACAGTCACTACGAACCTCCTGGCCTGGACACGTCATCTGAGGGGCCCTAAAGTCTCCACAGCCAGTATTTGTCTATGGTGAATAGATCAGGGCTTTCATATTTTGTGTCAAAATGTAGTTTTATAGGTTTGCTTTGTGGTCCAACAAAGAACGCATCTTAACATATTATAAAATCCTGCACCTGCTGTGCTGGTAGCTAAGGAGAGACATATGTCAAAAGACGTCTGGTAAGACACACAAGGAGGCAAAGGAGAACGCAGTAAAACAAAACAAGATTAAATGGCCAGTAGAAAAAGATCTATGAAACTCCAAGTAATTATGTTCCTATATATTATGACATTTTCTACAGTTTCTAGAATATGTTCCTTGAGCTTAAAAACTGGTCATTCATTTTTAGAATTGTATAATACATTAAATATGTACCTGTATATATCTTCTCCGTTTTTGAATATGCTTTTGAAAAAGGAATTCTTTTTCGCCAGGCTGAACCATTATATGATGTTGACATATATTTATCTGAGGGGGAAAAAAAAAGAAGAAGACTGGAGTTAAATACTGTATAACTTTAAAATCATATTCTAGGAGTATTTCAAATTTTTCATCTCAGAGATGAAATTATTCTCTAATTAATTTTACCATTTCAAACTAAGGGAACAGGGATACAAATGGGTCTATTAAGACTATTTAAGTTATCAATGAACATGGCTATACATTCTTTTAATTGGCTGTCCAATTCCTTAAATAAGGCTGTCTCCCATGAGACTAAGATAGAGGAGAAAATGGTATCTGGATGTGATAAAAAATATTTCTTTGCCTTGTTTAGCTATGATTTTGCATGTAATTCTGCTAATATTTGTAGGAAGGAAGGAAGGAAGGAAGGCCAGCTTAGGAGATCAGCCCTATTCCCTTTTCCCTCCATGAAGTGAGTCTCATGATGGCAGATTGCTCTACCATAGTGAACTCATTATTCTAGGAAACCAAATCATTTATATACAGACTTGGTCCTTAAATATCAGCTTTCCTCCGAGAGCTCTCTATTTGAACTATCATCTAACAATGTTGCATTTGTATTTTCAAGTATGACTATGCAACTGTGATTCTCAAAGCCTGGTCCAAAATAATACTAAACATGTATTTTTTTTTTTTCCTTGTCGACAGGTGCACTAGTAATGCAAAGGTAATAGCAAGTATAACACTTGCCACCTTAATACAAATGTAGACAACGACACCAAACTATTCTGGTAGTCATTGTATTATTCACAGCCATCTACTCATGGTAAATCTAATGAAATTAATAACAATGTAATAATAGTAAGAAATAAAATTAAGAGCCTGTTTCACCTAAGAATGTCCTTATTTTAATATATAAATCTATACATCATTCTGTTCTAAAGCAAATAGAAGAAAAACGATTTAAATAAAGCTAACTTCAGTTTAAATGATAAAAGAAAAGTCCTAAGAGAGACAAAAAGTTTTTACTTATGTATCTCAAAGTATCAACATTCAGAACTCCACTAACCAGGCTGTGAACACAGGAAAATATAAACATGCAATTACAGGGAACTGAGTAGCCTTTTTGTAGACTGAGAAAAGTTAAGCCCAACTTTGAAAAAGTAAAATTCATCTGCGACAAGAAGAAAAAGAGATTTGGTTCCCTCCTTATATACTGTGATTTTTGTCTGTTACATGATGAAATGATTTAGAAGCAATCTGTGCATGGTTGGGAGAGATGAGTGGTTGTCAAATACATTGCAGTTAACCCTCAAACTAACCCTTTCAGAAAGTAATCATGAAGGTCTAAAGAAAAGCCAAGACGCTGGCCTGAAAGTGATAATTGAACAATGCAGTTAGTGGAACAAGAAAATGTCAACCATTTGAAAACAATCCTCAGGAGTGAGATAAGCTATCCGGGGGTAACAAAGTGCACTGCTCCGAGACAAGCCACTAAGGAGGTTCACTGTTAAGTCATCTGCTCCAACATATTTTTTTCCATATCCTTTAAATCAAGCGCACTCCTGTGCATGGAAGAAATCCTCTCACTTATTTTCTAAGATGGTGGTGAGGGCCTAGGAGAAGAAGAGGGGAGCCCGGCTTCTGTGGCTCAGTGGTTGAGCATCCACCCATGCACCAAGAGGTCGCAGGTTCGATTCCCAGTCAGGGCACATGCCCAGGCTGTGGGCCTGATCCCCAATGGGGGGCATGCAGGAGGCGGTCATTCAATGTTCTCTCTCATCGATGTTTCTATCTCTCTCTCCCTCTCCCTTCTTCTCTCTAAAATCAATAAAGAAAACAATATTTAAGAAAAATTTTTTTAAAGAAAAAGAAGAGGGGAACAGGTAGCAATGAAGGTTCATTGCACCATCAGGAAATTCCATGGGAATGCCAACCACAGACATACGCAGAGCATATAAGTAAATAGCCTCACCTGGACAGAGGTTGAGTTTGGGTTCCTTGTTAACATTGACTTTATGGTAGAACCCATTTGTGGGCCTGTTGCTGGGAGGTGCGTTTAGTGAGACATTCCTGACAGTACCCCTCTGAACATGGATATAAGATGCATTTTCAGCATTTCTGTCTTTATTATTGCGGTGGTAACTCATTTTATTTTTTGGATTTGGGGCCTGTACTGCTGCAAAAGAAAGGAGGGATAAAACAAGCTGGTTTCATACCCATAAATAACATACTGCACTTCAAGCACAATGGAAGACAATGTAAGCTAAAAGAACTAAGTTTATTGGAGTCGGATTGACATCTAAAATAACATATTTCACAATGGTGATGTGTTTTTCAGACATAAAATATTATTTCATACTTAATCTCTTTTCAAATTACCATTTAGAAATATCAAGTATATAGACACCCTACCTCTCCGCATTCCTTGGCCAGGAAAGTTCTTTGGTTCATCATAAACCCATTTTCTTTTTTTCACGCCTTTAAAATGAGGCTTCCTCACTGGCTGGACATCATTCACTTAGAGGAAATACAAATTTGTACAGTTTTTTAAAAGACGCTTTCATCTGAAAATTACTGTAGGTGATAATTACATATCTGTGCACTTACATGTCAAGCAAGCAAAAAAAAAATTAATTCACCACCTTAGTACTTTATTTTCTAGAACAAAGGGTGATGAATTTTAAGTACCCCTCAAAAAAATCTATTTTGAAAGTAGATGAGAAAACTTTCAATAAGGAGCAATCCTCCAAGAAAAATGCCTTTTTTCAAAGAAATGTGTAGATTCTTTTAAAAGAGCATAAAATTACACTCCAAATATAATTATGTATCTATCTCACAATAATGTTATTATCATTTTAGCATTGTTATTGTGGACATAAATCTTTTTGTACATTTTTAGTCAAAACTACTACTTCTGAAGTTGAATTAATGTAAAACACACTTTTAGAGAATTTTACTTATTCTTTTCAGATCTTAAGAAGTGTTGTGTACAGATAGTTTGATGAAATAAGACCAAGTGATCAGAATTTGTAAGTGCTAAGATCCCTAGACTATTCGCTTCTTACTTGCATATGTTTTTTCATCAAAAATTTTATATGCATGCTCAATTTTCCAGAAATGTTTAAGGTATATTTCTCCAGAGACTCCTAAGATTTTGTGGAGAGGAGCGGCTGTTATTTCTCCGTAAAGGGATCCTGAACGTTCACAAGTAATGCACAGAGAACATGAACATCCGGTGCACTGCGTGGATCGCATCAGCTCTATGGTGGACTAACGCATGTTCCTGCCCGAGCTGAAGCATCAGGCCTTCAGTGAAACCGATTCACCGTCTCCTGTGCGAACAGCATGTCCACCCTCATTCTCAAGCTTCCGCTCCTAGGATTTGGAAACCATATTTTTAACAAGTGCCACTCAACTGAGCTTCTTGGGGTGAACCATCATAGCTCCCTTAGGGCCTCTCTGGGATCCAAGAATATTATACGGGTTCAATACATGAAATACGAGAAAGGAGAAAGGATGGAAGGAAATAGAGAGGAAGATTTGTGAGTCTTAATTATCACGAAAAGTAGCTTAGAATACTGAATGGCAAGGGGATGGTAAATCAAGAAAAATAACCCAAAACATATTAAAAACCTGTCCATGTTTTCCACTATAGGTTAAATTAAAATGTAATATTAATGAATCTTCCAAGAAGGTAGTATACTACTAATTTTAATACTTAAATTAAAATAGTGGGAAAGTTTATTATTTACTAGGACTTTGCCAAGCTTAGTAAAAAAAAAAGAAGAAAAAATAAAAATTGTCTTTAATTCTTAATCCTGGATAATTTTTAAACCATTCTTTTTAAATTTCTTCTTAAAAATTCTATTTCAAGTAAGCAAAACAAATCCATGATAAGACAAATATATCTAAGGCCAAAAAAAGAGAGCTCTCACTTGAAAAGGGGTCCTCTCTGCACTTCAAACTGATATTCTCAGTAGCATTTAATACATGCGCTGTAGGTACTAGTCGGGTAGTTAGGGAGCGCTTTGGATGAGGACTGTCCTTGTTATCTTTTAAAGCAAATTAAGAAAATAAAATGTCAGTATTAGTAAAAGAAGTGTCTCAGTTGCTATTTCACTTTTCAAACATTATATGATGGGCATCCTTCTTTTTAAAATGTACATATGTATGCTAATTTTTAGCATGCATTAGTGCAATTTCCCAATTACTGCCTTGAGTCCCCAAAATGTGTCACTAACAAAACATTGAAAATCTAGTAATACAGCCTTTACTTTCAATATGTAAATTACATATTTGTGGCAGTATTTTTAATAACCCCATACAAAAGAATTAAAAGGTTATCAACTTGTCCGGCTGGTGTGGCTCAGTGGTTGAATGTCGACCCATGCACCAAGAGGTCGTCGGTTCGATTCCCAGTCAGGGCACATGCCCAGGCTGTGGGCCTGATCCCCAGTGGGGGGCATGCAGGAGGCGGCCAGTCAATGTTCTCTCTCATTGATGTTTCTATCTCTCTCTCCCTCTCATTTCCTCTCTCTCTAAAATCAATAGAGGAAAAAAAATAATGAAAGGTTATCAACTTGACATAAAATGTGCCAATTTAAATTGAGATTCCAAAAATATTTTAAATGTCACAACTTTCACTTGCTCTGTGCTTTGGAGCAGGACTGCCCAATAGAGCCCTCTTCAGTAAGGTAAACAGTCTACCTCTGTTCTGTCTTAAGTGACAGTATGGGTCACACGTGGGTAACACTTGGACTACAGCTAGTGAAACAGAAAGGCTGAATTTTTTTGTTTTATTTAAGTTTATTTAACTTAAACAGCCACATGTGGGTAATGGCTACTGCTACTGGCATAGTGGTAGAGGGTTTTTGTTTTGTTCTGTTTGTTTTTTGATTGATTGAGCAAAACTGTTCCATCTCCAAATGAGAGAGAGGAAGAGATTTACATATATTTTCTATAACAATCCTTTCATTTGATTACAAGTGTCTTTTCCTATTCTTGAAAACATTTATTGATGGGGAAAAAAACAGAAGATGAGGTTAGTTGATATTTCTATGGAGAATATGTGAAGCCCTCTCGTTGCAGGACAGCTGTGATTTTAGTCTGTGACTGGAGAGCTGCCCAGCAGAGAGGTGCCAATTGGGACATTCTAAGTATGGTAAGGACATCATAAAATGATGAGGGTGTATTTTATTATCATTATCTCTTGATTATTCACAGACTGTAGTTGGTAATAATTATTAAATGGGGGAGTCATCATGAGATTAGAACTCTTCGCAGGAGTCACAAACAATGCTTTCTAAGAAAATTCAATCTTACTGAGTATTTGAAGTTGGAAGAAGAAACGAAAAATGATTAGGTGCTACCACTTAAGAGAAACGATAACTTTAGAGCTAGTAAGACTCCTAGAAATTATGTAGCCCAACAGGCTAATTGTTCAGGCTAATACGATAGAGCACCATGGTCAAACTAGGGACAGAGCCAAGATTAGAACCTTAGGGCTCCTGACCCCTATATTTCGTGTTTTGGTGTATATTTTTATTTATGACTTTGCCTATTATATTTGGTTTCCACAAAAATCAAGCTTTATGTTTAACATATCTATTCAAATTACAGATTGATTAAAATTACAAATGGTTTATTACCTTTGGTACTTGAACATTTTGACACGGTGATTTCTTTCTCTTTCTTTTCATCTACTCCAAGAAATACGATCCTCTGGGGGACATAACAGTCGCCTCCTACGGCAACACCTTACTGTCAGAGGCAGCGACGGCAGAGTGTTTTACAAAACTATCTTTCAATACAGAATATGCTCCTCTATGATATCCTTTTTGTCCACTTTTGTTTAAACAGTTCTCAATGATACCATCCCCATATCTCAATATATATCAGATATGTTTAGATTAATACATGTGCCTATATGTGTACATGAATGCACAGTAGGAACACTTACATACTGATAATTACAAGAAAACTTACATAGTCAACAGAATTAATTTTCCTTTAATACATAATCTTTGCTTCCACCCTTTTCCACCCTTTAGAGGTAGAGTAAATGTAAATTATCTCCCATACATAATCTTCAGATACATGAAAGCAGTTTCTGTGTTCCTTAAAAGTCATCTATTTTACAGGATAAGTATCCATCGTTGCATTAAATATTACTCATGTACTTAATTTCCAGATTCTTCACCACACAAGCCACCCTCTGTCAACATACAATAAGTGTTTAAAGCGATCTTTTTTTAAAGGTGACACCCAAATGTGGGCTGCCCTGTACAGAAATCAGTGAAACCTGGTAATAGTATTTGACATTTAGAGAGTATTCTTCTATATGTCAGACACTCCTCTGAGCACTTTAAATGACTGGTCACGTATACTTATCTTCCTATACTACTCCTAATAATTCAATTTGAGTTTTACCTTAGCTATTTGCTAGCCGACATGCTACTGAATTGTTCTGAAACCTTGTGGCCAACAAAAAAATATTTATTTTTACCTTACAATCTGTAGCATGTCAGATCTTTCCGAAATTGAAGAAAACCTACCCTTAATGTCTTGATCGTTTTTTCCTCTTGTCTTTAATAAGGTTGTTTTTAAAATTACATTCACTGGGGTGACATTGGTTAATAAGATTATATAGATGTCAAGTGTACAATTCTATGATACGTCATCTGCATATTGCATTGTGTGCCCACCTCTCAAAGTCAAATCTTCTTCTATCACCATATGTTTGACCCCCTTTACCCTTTATACCCCCACCCCTCTTCCCTCTGATAACCACCACACTGGTGTCTGTGTCTATGAAATTTTGTTTGTTTTTCTTATTTGTTTGTTTGTTGCTTTCAGTTTCACATCCCACCTATGAGTGAAATCATATGGTTCTTAATGTTTTCTATCTGACTTATTTTCTTTAACATGACATTCTCAAGATCCATCTATTTGTCGCAAACGACAGTATTTGATTTTTTCTTGTGGCTGAGTAGTACTCCATTGTATATGTGGACCACATCTTACTGATCCAGTCCTCTGTGCAAGGACACTTCACTTGTTTCCATGTCTTGGTCACTGTGGATAACACTGCAATGAACACAGGGGTGCATATATCTTTGCAAATAAATGTTTTCTTTTTTAAAATCCTCACCCGAGGATATTTTTCCATTTATCTTCAGGTAGAGTGGGAGTGGGAGGAACATCGACATGAGAGACACATCGACGGGTTGCCTCCTGCACAACCCCGACCAGGGCCATAGACTGAACTGCAGCCAAGGTACATGCCCTTGAACAGAACCAAACCCATGACTCTCTGGTCCATGGGCTGATGCTCCAACCTCTGAGCCAAACTGGCCAGGGTGCAAATAAATGTTTCAATTTGGGGGGCAGATACGTAGAAGACAGGTTGTTGGGTCATATGGTAGCTCTATTCTTAATTTTTTGAGGAGCCTCCATTCTGTTGTCTTTAGGTGCTGTACCAGTTCACATGCCCACCAGTAGTGCATGTCTTTTTCTCTACAACCTTTCCAACACTTGTTATTACTTGTCTTGTTGATAATAGCCATTCTAGCAGGTGTGAGGTGATAGCTCACTGTAGTTTTGATTTGCATTTGTCTAATAGCTAGTTAAGTTGAATATCTTTTCATAAACCTGTTGGCCTTTGTATGTCTTCTTGGGAGAAGTGTCTCTTCAGCTCCTCTGCCCATTTTAAAAAAATTATCTTCATTGTTGAAAGAATTACAAATGACCCATCTTTTTTCCCCAGTGCCTCCCTCCAACCCTCTCCTCCCCTCCACCCATGCCTTCACCACACAGCTGTCTATGTCTATATGCACATAAGTTCTCTGTTAATTTCTTCCTGTCCCCTCCCTGCTTCCCTCTGAGATTTGTCAGTCTGTTCCATGCTTCCATGTCTCGGGATCTATTTTGTTTGTCAGTTTATTTTGTCCAGTAGATTCTACATATAAGTGAGGTCTTATCTTTCTTTGACTAGCTCATTTCTTTTAGCATAATACTCTCCAGGTCCCTTCATGCTGTCTCAAAAGATAAGAGATCCTTTTTTTTTTTTTTTTTTTTTTTTTACAGCAGCATAGTATTCCATTGTGTAAATGTACTACAGCTTTTTTTATCCACTCATCTACTGATGGGCACTTGGGCTATTTCCAGATCTTAGCTATTATAAATAGCACTGCTGTGAACATAGAGGTGCATATATTCTTGTTTGTTTGGTGTTGAGTTGTATGAGTTCTTTATATATTTTGGATATTAACCCCTTATAGAGCTGTTTGCAAATATATTCTCCTATTCAGTTGGCTGCCTTTGTTTTGTTGGTAGCTTCTTTTGCTGTGCAGAATCTTTTTAGTTTGATGACCCATTCATTTATTTTTTGCATTACTTCCCTTGCCTTTGGGGTCAAATTCATGAAATCTTCTCTAAGACCAAGGCCCATACATTTAGTACCTATGTTTTCTCCAATGTAATTTATTGTTTCAGGACTTATATTTACGTCTTTGATCCACTTTGAGTTAATTTCTAAATGCAAGACTGTTTAGTCCAGTTTGAGCTTATGTTATTAAACTTGGTGCATTGTTCCAGCATATTAACGTCCAGTCATCTGTGAATTTTATAAACATGTCTCCATTCATCCAGTCATTTAATTGTCTAAACATAATAAAGTCAATTATTCTACAAATATTTACTGAGAGCACATCAGGTGCCAGACATTCTTCTACAGGGATTCATCTGCGGCAACTGATTATACACAGTTCCTGGCCTTACAGCACTTACCCAAAGCCAATGAGAACAATGTCCAAAAGATTTTGATGAAACAAAATTCATTAGAAGAGAAAATTCAGACTCATTTATTGTATAATGATATGTGGAGAATCAACCGGTAATAAAATAACTCACCTCCATTTTCAAAAGCAGCAATGTCAGTCCTTGGTCTCCTGTCCAGTGATGCTTTTACCTCGCCCTGCCTTTCAATTAGGCTAAATTTGGTTGGAACTGTAAGACCATCCCCTTGAAATTAAAAAAAAAAAAAATGTTTATATTACTCCAGGAACCATTAGGTGCTTACATAAGTTTATGATAGAATTCATAATAATAATAAAAGGCCTAAAAGCTAATGCAAGTATTGTTTATATGACATGATGAACAATAAATTTATAAATACATGAATTTTAAGCAAATTTTATAATTATCAGAAAAGTGTCAAACAAATTTATTTTCTTGTGTGGATAAGTAATAATGACAATTAAAAAACTTAAGCAATCTGCCCGGCCAGTGTGGCTCAGTGGTTGAGCATCGACCCATGCACCAAGAGGTTGCTGGTTCGACTCCCGGTCAGGACATATGGCCCAGGTTGTAGGCTTGATCCCCAGTGCAGGTCATGCAGGAGGCCGCCAATCGATGTTCTCTCTCATCGATGTTTCTATCTCTCTCTCCCACTCCCTTCCTCTCTCTCTCTCTCTAGCATCAATAAAGAAAAATATTTAAGCAATCTAACATTGTTTTTCATATAATTGTTACATTTTTTTGTTTATATCTATTCATTATTTAAAAATTGAGTAAAAAGTGTTAGTCTACTATTGACTTAAAATGCTAATTATACTGTGATAAGTAATTTTTACCATTTTCCTCATACATCTCTAATGTTCTTCTAAAATAAACTATTAAAACCAGAATAAAAGAACTATGACAATCTAATAAAACATGATTCTGAATTATTAAAAAAAAAGTCTGTAGGTAGTATTGTATCAGTGGTAATTGTCTGAATTTGATATTTATACTACAATTATATAAGATTTATGTAGGAGCATCATGTCTTAAACTTACTCTCTAACAGTTCAAAAATAATAACAAGTGTGTATATTTACAGAGAGAAAGTGAAAAATTATGTGTAAAAGGCTAACATTTGGGGATATCCAGGTAAAGAGTGTTCATGAATTAACTGAAATTATTTTAAAATAAAAAGCTTTTTAGTTATTTGTCTGTTTGTTTTATTGATTGATTTCACAGAGAGAGAAGGAAAAAACATATACTTGTTCCACTTATTTTTTTTTTTTTATCCTCACCTGAGGACATTTTTCCATTTTTTGTTCAGACAGAGCTGGAGGGAGGGGGAGAGAGAGAGAGAAACATCGACGTGAAAGGGACACATTGAGTGACTGCCACCCGCACGACCCAACCAGGGCCTGGGACAAATTGCAACCAAGGTACATGCCCTTAGCGGGAACCGAACCCTGGTCTCTCTGGACCACAGGCCAACGCTCTAACCGCTGAGCCAAACCGGCCAGGGCTCCACTTATTTTTTATGCATTCGTGCATTGCTTCTTGAATGTTCCCCAATCAGGGATTGAACCTGAAACCTTGTCGTATCAGGAGGATGCTCTAAACAACAAAGTTACCAGGCCAGGGCATAAACAAAGTTTTTTAAAACATAATATAAAGCAAAATTGCATATAATTGTATTTATAATCTATCATTTTTAATATTCATTGCTAACTTGGTTTCTTTATTTTTGTTTTGTTATTGTTTGGAGAGGGCTGTCTATTGTTGATTGTGTCTAGATAATCAGTAACCTGGGCAATCCTGTCCGTCCACACACCACTACCTGTCAACTGGTCCTTTCTGATTGTTCTGCCATCTGATGGTGTGCTGCTGCCACCTACCGCCGTATATTTATGTGGTTTGCAAGGCAGGCACTTTGATCTTTACCCTATATTCATCCTGATCCTGGGAGTTTTCTCCTTTTATTTTTATTTTATTATTACTTTTTTAGGGTAGGAAGTGACTCAAATCTCTCCTACTACTATAAAACTGGCTTTTCAGCTCATCCTAGTGGCAAAATAAACTATATAAACTATGGCATCTATGTATTTCCCCCTAGTTCCTCGTTTCATGCCCAGAAAACAATGTTCTCATCTTGACAAGGGAAAAGTGTTCAACAAGAGCACAATCAGATTCGCCAAAGTATAAGATCCATGAAAGTCACAGCCTTGGAACTATCCACCTGCTTCACCCTTGAAATTGTCTGATACACAGAAGGCACTCATTCAATGGATAAATGTACTGCCATTGCGTGGAGCTCCTTTATGTCATTCGAGGGCTAGGTTGTCCTTTCTATTCACAAATCTCCTGTTTTATATGGATGTGTATTTTCGTAGATAAAGAAAATGGTAAGTCAAACTACTTACAGAGTTACTGCATCATACTTCATGGCTCCCCTGGGAAAGCTTAATTATGTTAATAGCAGCTTTTACATTAAATTTAGGTCATCCAATAAGAGAATCTCCTCACTCTCAATTCTGATGTATTATTTATCATTTAACTCTGTTGTATATCTTACTAAATAATTCACAGCCTATCACGCCAAGTATCTCTAATGCATGACACTGAAATGCTGCCACTGAACTCACCTTCTTGTAATTCACTGCCATTTTCCAGAGGCTTTTCCAACTCTTTTTCTGCTGCAGAGGCTGTGCTTTTTGATGATGAAATATCTGGAGAAGTTTGAAATCTGTAGTATTCACCTAATCTCCCAAAAGAAAAGTCATGTTGAGTATATTGATCACATCAAATATTAGAAGATCCACACATATTTTGCTTGCTTACCAGATTTGTAACACATCTCCTTTATTGCTCTTTTTTCCTCGAGTTCTTCAGGGGTCTTTGTCCATAAGCTGGAAGCATCTATAGGATAGATATATATTTTCTAATCAAATTGTCCTAAAGCCAAACAATCTGAAAATTTATAAAGCAAAATAAAAAAAATCCCAAACATTGTTCTCATGGATGGGTTACTCATTTAAATTTTTTAAATCAATGATTTGTATACTGGCGAATATTTCTAATTTCTATATTTCACATATTAGAAAGAATCAGTCAAGAGAAAATAAATGACTGTACATTCTGCATCTTAGGTGGAGCTGTGGATTCATATGGTGAGATCATATTTGTTTGTTTGGAGGAAGGTGAAGGTATGGAAGACACGGAGCGACAGCAGACAAAACCAGAACAAAATACATATTCCTAGGCATTCCTGAGCACAGACACTACGGTGGCCTGTGGCCCACAGAAGGACACAATCCAGGGCCAAGAGAGAGTGGGAGTTTATTTTTCAGCATGTTTGTCTTGTTCGTACATACATATTGGCATCACGGTGCTGTGATAATATGGGAGGAACAGGATGGACTAGGATGAAAAAAGAACTGGGTTCTAACCTTGCTTATACTTTTGGAAGAATTATCTGGGATAATGCAGATGGCTGGGCTTTATACATTATAAACTGCTCTATGGATCTCTATAACTTCAAGGATTAAATGGGAGACAGATGGATGTAATCATGCAATAAACAGATGGACACATGTATATCAATGTTAAGTTACATATAAATAAAAGAAGTGATTAGTATCCTTATAAATAACTCTACACATTTAAACAGGAAAACCATCTCTCAGCCATCCTATAATCAACAAAGCCTTCCAATCCAAATAGTAAGCATGTGTAGACAGAACAAATGAGAACATAATGAATTCAATATATATAATAAATGTAAAACTATTGTCTCACCAAAACCTGCCTTACATATTAAGTTATAAAACTCTAGTAGTGAAATAAATACTTAGAAAATATTATGAGGTTTTTGTATGGGCATTATAAATCTGAGAAAAAGTTCACTAACCACTTTGCTCATTTCCTTCCTCCTCTTCTTCCTCAAAGTTCGTTTTTAAAACTAAAGGATGGTGAATGGGTCGTGATATATTCTCCTGAGGTTTCAGGGCTTCCTGAATCTGGGTCAAGGGTGGAGTTCCCTCCTGAGGTTCTTTATGTACTGTAATAGCTACAGAGAAAATGCAATATTTCAGTCTTATCAAAATGTACAATGATCGGCTGTTGTCTTCCTGGTGAACTATAATTATTAAAAGGTTATTATACTAACTTACCAAAAAAAAAATCAACACTTTGCCTAGAAGGTGTGGAAAATATGTTAATTCATAGATTTTAGATAGTAATTATAAGCATAACTTGGTATATCACACTTTTGGTGTAAATTGAAAGTGATCCAAAGCATTGGCTGTATTCTTACATTAGATCTGTGGGATAAAATTTAACAACTTAATCACATTATGGCAAATCAACAATGTCAAGCTCATATAAGGCCTAGCTTATGCTGGCAGAGTTTATGTGCCCCAAAGAGGAAAACAGCCAATGGTTCTAGTTTTCTGGGGTGGGGGGTACTTACTTGAAAGTGAGAAGAATGATACTTTCAGATTCCCCTGTTGACTCCACAGGAGTTAGACGGGCCAAAGCTCTAGGTCATATTGAAATGTTCTGTGACCTTCAAAACTAACCAGCAATTGATAGGAGTGGCTAGTGGACATGTATATCTTCTATCACTTTGGCTAATTATCAGAATCCACTAAAGAAATTTTCCAAACATCTTTTGGGTCTCTGCTTTCTTGACTTCTGATTCAGCAGATCTGAATGAAAGCCTGGAAATCTGACCCCACCGTTTAAATATCTCAGGTAAATGATAAGGGCAGCCAAGTTCGGAAACCACTGTCCCAAATCAATGGCCATCTAACTGGGGTCCCGGGTCATGGAAAGCCTGTCAGTGGATATGCGCATCATCCCAATAATTTGGAAACAGTCAACCCTGCTCCAGATCCTCCATTTCCACATTTATTTTCCCCTTGAATTTGGTTTGCCCGAGAACAAGGCTGAGTTCACAACAGCCTTGCTCCGCTTTACAAAATGAAGGCCTACTGTCCACTGATGCCGACATTTACTCTAGCACATTGCCCAAAAGAGAAATCCTTCTTCAGTGATGAATCAAAGTACCGGGAACCCATAGGGCTTTCTCTATTACCTTGACTTACACACAGTTCTACCAGGAAAAACATCACAGTGTGGTGGGCAGAATAATGCCCCCCACTCTCACCAAGATGCCCCTAACCAGTGGCTACAGACAGAATTAAGACTGCTAATCAGCCTACCTTAAAACTGGCACATGGTTTAGGTGGGCCGAAGGTAATCAAGAGGGTCTTTAGAAGGGGAAGAGAGATACAGAGGAGGAAGAGAGATGTGACAACACTGCCTTTGAAGATGGAGGAAGGGGGACAGGAACCAGGATGAATTCTGAAGGCCTCTAGAGACTGGAAAAGGCAAGGAAACAGGTTCTCTGTCCCGAGTTCCTAGGAGAAACGCAGCACTGGAGACACCTTAGTTGTTTTGTTGTGTTTTTTTTTTTAAATTAATTAATTTTTTTATTATTTTATTTTTGTTACAGATGTTTCTCCTTTTTTCCCCCATTGACACCCTCCTCCACAACCCCCCACCCCATCCCCGGTTTTGCTGTTCGTGTCCACTGGTTATGCGTACATGCATGTAAGCTCTGTGGTTTATCTCTTCCCTCCCCCACCACCCCCTCTTCTGAGGGTTGTCAGTCTGCACCCTACTTCCACGTCTCTGGGTCTACCCTGTTCCTCAGACTGTTATGTTCATTATATTCCACAAATAAGTGAGAGACATCTTAGTTTTAATCCTCAGATTTCTAAACTATAGAACTACACAGTAATAAACTTGAGTTGTTGAAGCCACTTCGTGGGTGGTCATTTGTATTGGATACACAAGTAAGTGCTGATTTTAAATGCACATAGTTAAAAAATTTTTTTTTAATCCTCCCAAGGATATTTTTCCATTTAACTTCAGATAGAGTGAGAGAAAGGAGTGGGGGTGGAGGGGGAGAGAGAGAGAGAGAGAGAGAGACATGGATTGGTTGCCTCCTGCACAACCCAGACCAGGGCCGGGCACTGAACTACAACTGAGGTACATGCCCTTGACCAGAATCAAACCCATGACTCTTTGGTCTATGAGCTGACACTCTAACCACTGAGCCAAACCAGCCAGGCTTGCTTTTTTTTTTTTTAGATTAAAATTTTTTGTTGAAAAAACTTCTTTCATTTCTGGATTATTATTAAAGAACATATCACTTTTGCCCGGCCGGTGTGGCTCAGTGATTGAGCACTGACCCGTGCACCAAGAGGTCACCATTTCAATTCCTGGTCAGGGCACATGCCCAGGTTGTGGGCCAAATCCCCAGTGGGGGGCATGCAGGAGGTGGCCAATCGATGTTCTCTCTCATCAATGTTTCTATCTCTCCCTTTCCTTCTCCCTTCTTTTCTCTCTAAAGTAAATTTTTAAAAACTAGAAGAAGAAAAAAAAGAACATATCACTCTTAGTCTCCTAACATCAATGAAAAGAGAGCACTACTAAGAAACTCTGAAGGAAAAACATGGCTTTAAAGCTTTTCAGCTATTCTCAATATATGCCTGGGAGTGGAGCAGCTGGGACATATGGCAACTCGACCTTTAACCTCTTGAGCCCGACTGGTTTCCAAAGCAATTGCACCATTTTACATTCCTACTAGCAATGTATGACAATTCCAATTTCTCCACATCCTTCTCAATGTTTCTTATCTTTTTTTACTTTTTATTTTCAATCCTCACTCAAGGACACTTTTCTATTTATCTTCAGATAGAATAGGAGGGAGAGAGAGGGGGAGAGAGAGAGAAAAATCAACATGAAAGGGACACATCGACTGGTTGCCTCCTGCATGACCCCAACCAGGGCCTGAGAGGAACTGCAACCGAGGTACGAGGTACGTGACCCTGGCCAGAATCAAAACTGAGACTCATTGGTCCGCTGGCCAATGCTCTAACCACTGAGCAAAACCAGCCAGGGCTGTTTTATAAATCTTTTTGATTAAACCATCCTAGTGGGTGTGAAATGGTATCACATTGTGCTTTTAATTTACACTTATCTAATGGTTATAATGATAAGCATATTTTCATGAGTTAATTGTCCATCTTTTAAAACTGTCTATTCAGATTCTCTGCCCATTTTTGTAATAAAAGTGTCTTTATGTTATTGAGTTGTAAGACTTTTTTATATATTCTAAATGCAAGTCCCTTATCAGATATATGATTTGCAAATATTTTTTCCCATTCAATGGGTAGTTTTCTCATTTTCTTGATGGTGTTCTTAGAAACACAACAATGTCAATTTTGATAAAATTTAATCAATTCCTCTTTTCTTTGGATGCTGTCCTTCTGGTGTCATGTGTAAGAAAGCTTTGTATAACCTAAGGTTTCTTTCTTTCTTTTTTTTTAATTACTTCTTATTTATTGACTTTAAAGAGAGAGGAAGGGAGAGAGAGAGATAGAAACATCGATGAAAGAGAACATCAATTGACTGCATCAATGTTCAGGGAATCAAATGGGTGACCTCTTGGTGCATGGGTCGATGTTCAACCTAAGATTTCTTATAAGAGTTTTATAATGTTGGCTCTTATATTTAAGTCTTTGATATACGTTAAGTTAATTTTTGTGTAGGCTGTAAAGAAGAAGTGCAAATTTGCTTATGTGACTATCTGCTTTCTTAGAACTATTTGTTGAAAACAGTTTTCTTTCCCCTATCAAATGACCTACACATCCTTGTTAAAAAAAAAAAAAAAAAATGACCATAAATTGATTCATGTAAAGGTTTAATTCTGGTGTCCCAATTCATCCTACTGATCTACATACATATCTGTATTTATGCCAGTGTCAGATGGTCTTGATTACTGTAGCTTTGTAATAATTTCTAGATTTTGAAATCATTAAGTGTGAGTTCTACAATGTTGTATTTCATTTTCCAGATTGTTTTTACTATTCTGGGTCCCATAAATTTCCATATACATTTCAGAATCAGCTTGTCAATTTCTGCAAATAAAGCAGATAGGATTTTAATAAGGGTAGCATTGGCCGGGCTGGTGTGGCTCAGTGGTTGAGCATCGACCCATGCACCAGGAGGTCACTGGTTTGATTCCCAGTCAGGGTACATGCCCAGGGTGTGGGTCAAATCCCTAGTGTGGGGCATGCAGGTGGCAGCCAATCGATGTTCTCTCTCATCGATGTTTCTCTCTCTCTCTCTCTGCCTCTCTCTAAAATCAGTAAAGAAAAAGTAAATAAATAAAGGTGGCATTGAATCTATAGATCAAGTTGAGGAGTACTGCCATATTAACAATAAAGCCAATCTATAAACCTAGGCTATCATTTAATTTTTAAAGTTTCTTTAATTTCTTCCAATGTTTTGTAATTTTTAGTATAATTTTTGCACTTCTTTTGTTAAATTAATTCATACATATTTTATTTTTATGTGATTGTAAGTGAATTTTTTATTCTATCTTCAGTTTATTTACTGCTCATATGTAGAAATACAATTATTGTATATTAGTCTTGTACACTGCAACCTTTAGAATCTTCTCAATAAAAGATCATGGTATATGAAAATAAAGATAATTTTACTTCTTTTGTTCCGATCTGGATGTCTTTGATTGGTTTTATTGCCCAATTCTTCTGGCTTGAATATAACTGGAAAGCATGAGCATCCTCATCTGGTTCCTGACCCTGGGGGAGCTTTCGGCCTTCCGCCACTAGGTATGACTGATTTTCATACATATCCTGTATCATGTCGAGAAAGTTTCTTTCTATTCCTGGCTTGTTGAGTGTTTTTATTATCGTGAACTTAAAAAAAATGTTTAAGTATTTATTACCATTTTTTATTTTAATTTTTTTCTTTATTGAATTTAGAGAGAGAGGAAAGGAGAGGGAGCGAGAGATAGAAACATCAATAAGAGAGAATATCGATTGGCTGCCTCCTGCATGCCCCACACTGGGGATTTGGCCCACAACCTGGGCATGTGCTCTGACCGAGAATTGAACCAGTGACCTCTTGGTGCATGGGTAGATGCTCAACCACTGGGCCACACGGCCTATATATTACCTTTTCAAAACTGTG